TGAATCTTGATAAAGCAGAATGGTTTTAAATAAGAAATTAAATTATGATTGCAGTGATTTTAATATACTGTATATGTTCAGGTATTTTAAGCACTCTGAAAGCAAAAGGAAATAGCTTTAAGTAAAGTTAAATGAGGTCATCTGCTGGTTCAGAGTTCTCTTATCAGCAGTTTGCTGATGATATCCCATTAAAAATAATGTACTCTTGACCCCAGGCCACCAAGTGATGCTATTGATGGTCAATGCCAGCATCTGAAGGCTTCGCCAGTTTCAGGCTAATAAGACCAAGGCTCTATTGATAATTGAGCCCACTTATCTGGGGGATTTTCACTTGTAGTATTGGATAGGGAATTGGATAGGGTAATTAAGATGGGTCCTCAATCTGAGGGAGTTTTTGGATTCACAACTCCTGTTTAAAGAGCAGGTGGCGACTGTGGCCAAGACAGCTTTTGTACAAATGTATATAGCATGCCAGATACACTCATTATTGGATTGGAGACCTTCCAAATGGTCTTTCACACTCTAGCTTCTTCACAGATGAATGATTGCAATGCATTGAAGGCCGGACTGCCATTGTAGACCACTCACAAACTACAGCTGGTCTAGAATACAACACTGAGAGCACTAATGGGCATACTATCATATGTCCATATGATATCACTCTACAGAAGTACATTGGTTACCTCTTGGCTTTCAAGTACAGTTCAAGGTGCTGGTTACAACCTAGAAATCATGCCCTGGCATGGGACCCGATTATCTACCTAACTGTCTATCTTTGATTGTTTCTTTTCAGTAAAATTGGGTAGAACAAGTATGCATCAGGTTTGTTTGGTTACACAATGTCATAGAGGGACCTAGGAAGCCACAAACCTTCTCTGTTGCAGCACCTGCACTCTGAAACAGCTTCTCCAAGAAATTTGTATACTCATCCTTGAGTTAGGATGGGGCTCAAACTCTGTAGCATTTTTTTTTATTTTATGGTTATCCATTTCTAGGTGACTATGGTGTAATGAATGCTGTACTTGCTTTTAAATTTGTTAGCCAACAAGTCTGAGAGTTGGGCAGTCTGTAATTGGAAAATTAAATTAAAATTAAACCAAGGAAGTTAAAGAGAATAATTCATCCATATGTTATTCTGATTTTGCTTTTAGAACTGTTTTCTTTAGTACTGAATATTGTAGTTTACTAGTCCAGTTGACACATTTTAATTTTTCTCTGATGGATTGAGGTTTTTACTTTTGTTTTTTGTGCATACTTCTGCAGTCATAAAAATTAGAAGTGAGCAATTTTATACATATTACATTATTTCAAATTATTATTTTAATGAGTTTAGTTTGGCCATAGTATGTATTTTAATGTACATTTTTAAACATTTGAGAAATTGCTTTAAATAAGACCTGTGCAAATTAATTCAGATTTTATCCATATTGGAGATTCAAGATTCAAGGAGAACTTGATTCAGCTCAACTCTGTGATTTGAGATTCTCTTTTTTTATAATTTTTTTTTATTAATTTTCAATAAACAAACATACACAAACAAAACACAAAACATGAAAACATAAAACTTCTTTTTGGAAAGCGGCTTAGTCCCGGGTTACATCTTTTTGTACAGACATAAATCAAATTCATGCTCACTTTGTATACCATTTCATATCTTATTCATCATTCTATATTTTCTATATGGCTTCTCCCCTCTTTTCACTCTCTTAATTCTATTTTATTTATTTCATCTCAATTTAAATCATTATACTTGTATCTTTTGTCCGTTCTGTTTCAATTATCTAATTATCTTTTCTCTTTAACACAATATTTCTCCTGTAATCACTGATTGAAGTATGACGCTTTTATATTTTTCCCCTAAATTTAACACTTAAAATAATATATAATTTTCATTCTGATTCTGCTTAGTACATTCTAAAGCTACATACTACATTTTAAAATAAGAAAATAATAAGTTTATAATATAATTAAGACAATAATCCATAGCAAATTAAACTCTATCATTAACTCTTAAGCATTTTACACATTCCCTTTAATATTTTATTAAATCATATAATGTTCCAGTTTTCTAACTTTATTTCAAATACAAATACAACAATACAGTCTTATGTACTTTTGCAGAATCTCTTTTTTAATTATGTTTTTACCCTTTATCTCTGAAAAAAAACTGTTTCTTTACATCTTGTTTCAAACCTTTATAACTTCTCTTCCCTTTTTCCCTTCCTTTCTTCTCCGATCTAGCCTTTTTACCCCCCCCCCCATCTCTTGATCTCCACCCTCTTAATCTCCACTCTCTTCTGTATTCCTCTTTTCTATTGCTTTCTGACATTGTATCGATTTTTCACCTTATTTTCCCCTTTTTTGGTTGTTCTTTTAAGTCTTAAATTCTCCATTCTCTTTGCCCTCTTTCTCTTTTCTTCCCCAGCTAAAGTTGTTTGTTCATTAAAGATGGCTTCTTCTTCTTCATCCCAACCTTCTTGTTCTTGTAATTCCTGATAGGTAGAAATCACCATTTCTAAAAAATGAAAAACAGATCCAGAAGAGCCTTTCCCTTCTTGTTCCTCTTCTTTTAGCTTTTTAAATTCCATTTTCAGTTCTTCAACAGATACTGCCATTGTGAAAAAAATTTAAACAACCCAAATGTTTTTAGTCTTTCAAATAATAATTTCCAAAGGTCCCAAAGTCACCAAGCAATCCAAATAGACACAAGCTATTTCATTTAGCACTTTCTTCTTTTTACACTTTCTCTTCCTGGGGTACAGTTCAATTACAAAGTTCCAAAATGTATCTTTTAGAAGTCTTGTTACAGTTTAACTCTGATCTTATAAGCTCCAAGCAGCCTCCTCCAGCTAAGTTTTAATATTAATTCTTTACCTCTCCCTTCCCACTTATAGCAAAAAAAGATATATTTTTTTAATTCCAATGTTCAGAAATCTTTAATGTCCCCTTGGCTTTAATTTTCAAATTT